ATTTGAATTTTTTAGGAGAGATTTAAAACCTAAGTACCATTTTTTAGTCCACTATCCGGAAGTAATTCGTACATCTGGACCTGTAGAAAAAATGATGTGCTTGAGAAACGAAGCTAAACACAAAGGATTCAAGCCTTATTCGCACATAATGTCATCTCGAAAAACATTTGCTACACTTTATGCATAAAATACAATTCACTTATGATCTTCTAAATAACAATTCTTAAAAGTTTCTGTAGATGGTAATTTCAATTTATTTGACATTCAACTAATATGTATTATTTCTGGGTTTGAACTAATGTGTTCAAATAGTATTGTATTCAAGGGAAAGATAGGCGTTCCATAATTTGACGTGGAACTGCTTAAAGCCCTTTGCTTGGTCGATGCATCGAAAGGCCCAGATCCAGATGATTTCTCATCGTCTTTCAACAAGAACTATGCATCATCGTTGGCCGCTACCGTTCAAGAATTCGCTGAATTAAGTTACGTTGAATATTCTGAGTGGCGCTAATGTCAAAGATGGGGGGCTATGGGGTTGAAGCCCCCCCCCCAAATTATTATAATAATGTGAAAAAAAATCTGACCCAAGATAATGGATATCCATTACTTGAGTAAGATTTTTTTTATTTTTCATATTATATTATAATAATTTATGGACGAGGCTTCAGGCCTATAGCCCCTCTGGCAATGGGACTCGGGCTGTACCTATATAGTAGGCATGAACAATTTATGTTTGCAGCGATTCTGTTAAAGATCATGGGACCATCGAGTTTTTATGAAATATCAGCCTCGTTTCACTTCCATAGGAACTAGGGTGTAGACCCAATTTGTAGCCTTCTTAACACAATCCACACTGTACCCCTCTTTTTCAAGCAAAATTTCATACAAAATAGAATGTTTCTACAACAAATGACTTCTTAATTTATTTACCTTTCCATATGTACCATTGGATTTAATAAAGAGTCACACATTGTTTCTATTTAGATTTTAACTCTTTAATTGTTCAAAATTCAAAATAAATTACTTTTCGTTTTAACCCAGGTGCTCAAGCCACCTAGTAACTTATCTGCTGTAATTTTTATGATATAAATCTAAGTGATTTTACATTGTTCCTGCCTTGGAAATTCAGTATTTTAAACAGGTCTTTTAAACCTGCATGTCAGTATAACAATTCACATCAAAACTAAAAACTAAAACTATATCTTATCTATGTATAAAGGTAATTAATCTTTGCAATTGAAGATTGCAACGATTTTTCCCTAAAATTATTAATTATTTTGTTGGACATTTCTAGATAGAGCTGGAATTAGGGCAATGTAAACAATGGCTTCTCTCGATGATTTCTCGAAAGGCATGGCTCTTCCTGGCAAATCAACATTACCATCGAATAGGGGAAGACTTACCCTACCCGATGGATATGTTGATTTGTGTAGGGATGCCTTGAGTTGCTAGAAATCGACGAAAGAATTTATTGTTTACAAAAGCTGTTACGCCCTAATTCCAGTTCTATCTAAATTTGTTCTAAAGTCTCAACATTCAAAATTCTATGTACTTCGGTAGTACTGTACCAAGGAGGCAATTTCAAAATCATCTTCAGAACTTTGTTCTTAATCCTTTGAAGTTCTTTTTTCCTGGTAGTGCAAGATCTAGACCATATTGGCACAGTATAAAGCAGGACCGGTCTAAAAACTTATTTAAATATTAGAAGTTTATTCTTAAGGCAAAGTATGCATTTTCTGTTTATAAGAGGATACAAACATCTTATATATTTATTACATTAATGTGATCTTTCAACACAACCACTTTCAATAGGATTACAATCTAAATATGTGGACCTCATATCGGCTCTTAATCATGCGAGCAGTATAATACAGGTTTTTAAGGAGAGACGCAGAAGCAAAATTTGCTGAAATTTTTAATGCAGCCTCAAAGCTGCATATGTCTGTTTTCGAATGCGCAGTTACGACTACATCCACGTGCATCCAAGCTAACAATACGTGCAAATCAACCAGTAGAAACACCAGAGGAATACTATCGAAGAGCAGTTTTCATTCCATGACTCGATGGATTGATCCAAAACATGATGGGACGTTTCACAAAAAATGATGACATCCTTCCGGTGTTCCAAATATTGTTGCCTGGTTTTACAGATATTGGAGAGTCATCCCAACTTGACAAACTTAACTGTTATCTCTGTGATTTCACCAGCGTGGTTGCCAGAGTTGCGACCTATCACAATCACGATCACCAAACAGTTGATGGTAGTAACGCTTTGTACATTCCTATCAATGTGCTCGTCGAAGCTCTCTCCATGACCATCCATCAAGTTGACGAAAGAATTAAAAAGCAACTGGTGAATGTCGTCTTCTGTTGTGATCCATCACCGATCTGGTCATTCCCGACAATCACGACACTCATCTGTGCTCGTTTTGAAGCTGTTGCTGCTTTGCTTGCTTATTTAAGTGTGTTGGTGAGTGAGCCCAACAGCTTCCGTTTCATGTTGCCTGCTTTGTTTGTAACTCACACAGTCGCACCTGCCGAGACGAACTTGGAATGCGTAGGCATTGTTTTCATTTTCTTCTGTCGTTTCGCTTTTTCTCATGATCGTACTGCAGAAGTCTTCACTGTTTTCGTTGTGCTTTTCATTATCAGCAGCGAGTGTAATGTTTTGCTTGTGAGCAGCGACCATTACTGGGGATTGTTGTTTGCCATAGCTCTAACTCTCAGAGCGTGACAAAACGATCTGTCAGCGATAGTTGGTTGATGCGAAGACGAGTGTCACGTGAGTGTCATGATATTTTGCATCACTGGCTGGTTGCAGGTAAACGTGGAATACGAGCTTTGGTGCCGGACATCCATAAATATTAACAGGAATTTTGAGGCATTTGGGCTGCTTGATAAATGTGACTCGACGTATTTTCCAACAATCACTGTTTTGTTGAAGATTTTGGTGACACTCCCGGTCACTACAGCCAGTGTGGAAAGATCTTTCTCCACACTGAAACGAATTAAAACTAATGGGAAACCAACGACTTGGCTATAATGTCAATTAACTGCTTAGAGTAAAGCTAGAAGATTACTTTTGTAATAACCAGGTATAATGTCCAGGATATGGCTCTACGTTGTGTTTAATTTGTTGCTCAGATTTTTGGACAGCAGTTTGGCGATCGGCTACTGATTCAAATGAAGTAAAAGAATACATTTCTCATTCACTATTTAGCACCTCCTACAGGCAGCACCCTGATCGGAAGTCAAATTCAAACTTAATCTAATTGCATTAAATATTTGCACTTATATAGCTAACTGGAACAATACAAAATATCACAGAATAACGATCGATTAAAAAAAAACAAAAGTACAGTGATGCTAAAACAAAAACTTAAAAACATACATAATGATGAGAGCAACAATATTCGCTGTTCGTGTTTCGTGTGGATCACATTACTATCACTGCATCGAGGGATGTTTGTTTTTACCGCCTTAAATGAATTAGGATCCGGTGCCGGTGATTTTACGATTCAACACCATTAAAATCTTAAAATAATTATGTTTTAAAAAATATGTAACATATTTTTGTCTTTCTTAACAGAATGCCAATCTTAATCATCATTACCAACAGAAAACAAGTAAAACTACAAATATTTTCTTGAATTTCATACATTTGTTTAACTTTTCTCATAACTGCGTATTAAAGAGTTTGAAAAATTATTATTTTACATTCTGATGGTTCATTAAAAATTCCGATCAAAGATTAAAAACGAATTAAAAAAAAAAAAAAAATGATGACACATGATTTTGAACGATTTTGGTTAAAGTAAAAAAAAAACAGTGTATCATTCGATGTTAAGTTATGCGCACATTTTATAAATCATTGAAGTTTTTATGTTATAAAATTAGATCCCCCCGAAACCAAATGCTGGCTACGGGCCGCGAAATAAATAAAATTGCCGACTTAAGATTCAGATAATCGAAAATTGGGATTCAGAGAAATCCGTCTTGAGATTCAGAAAATATAAGGAATGGGGTTCAGAGCATGCCGTCACCAATTGGAAAATCCTGCAGATGAGATTTGAAGATTCCCATAATTAAAATTTAGACGATCGCAGAATATAAGTAAGATTCTTCAAGAATATAATACAGAAAATTGCAGAATGTAATAGAATACAGAGGATAAATACATGGGATTCAGAGAATCTCAACAGTTTTTTTTTTATCTAGCCTTACAACTCAATCGCGTTAACTTTACGGAGCCGATAATTCATTGTTCTTTGTTTGTAACAAAATTCACTTAATTCTATGTCTAGTAGGAGTTGGGCCGGATACTCGCGGCTTACTCGAGGTTAGAGGGGTACATTGTCGAAGGATAGGAAAAGGGGAGGAGCTTGGGAGGAGGGTATCGTTGCCTCATCAGAGCGTTGTCGCCAGTATGAACGGTAGTGCGGTTCTAGTTTCATCTGGAGTTCGACCGGCCAGTGGGCGACGATGAGGCTCATCGAGACGGGGGACAAGATAAACAAAAACTAATAAAGAGATACAAAAGACAAACGAATTAAATTCTTATACTAGACATTTGCAGAAACACATAAATCGACTGCATATAGCAATTCTCAACAGTTGATTAAGATAATTCGGAAATAAGTTTCAGAAAATGAGATTGTGAGAATCGTAAAATTGAGGATTCCAGATTGCAGCATAGAGAATCTACGGAATGCAACACGAAATGAAAATCTTAGAATCTCTTATTTGACTATTACGCCCCAAATGGAACTGAACAGCAACTCCACACTTTTTTTTTGTTAATTACAAGCTTTCTCTATCAATTTGCATTCATAAAGGGTAGGATTTCGGATGAATTCAGAACAAACACACAAACGCCACCTTTCTCCTTAACGAACTATTTTCTTCTGTTTATTCTGTGTCAATTTGAAGTAGTTTCCTTAAATAAGTACTTTCAGATTTTTATTCTTTTCTTCTCTGTGTGTTCTTGCCCCATCTTTTCCTGTTTATAATTTACACTATTTGCAACATATCTATAGAGTAGTCAGGGCAGCCAGGGCCTTTGCGTGTTTTTTGAGAGAACCTGTGTGAGTGTTTCGTAAAATTTCCTTCACAATATGTTTGGAGTTGAAATGGGACAATGTGTTTGTGTATGTGTGTGTGTGTGTGTGTGTATGTGTGGTTTAAAAACGCAACATATTTGTAGTAGGGACAGGGGTGGGAACATGGATATTTTACGATTTTACGTACTTTTGTTCGTTTGAGTTTTTTCTTCTTCTGATTCTGTTCCAAACCAACGCTTCCAAAACTGACTTGGGGGGTTGTCATAAGTTTTCGGTTGCAACGATTAACTTTTTTTTTTGAGTTTCCCACAGAAACGACTGTTCTAAAGCTGAGGAGGCCTTTTACAAAGACCGTCAACACGTTAAATGTTTCTTACTTTGTCCTACACGATAATGTATTTCTTTTGCGGTAGATTCAATTTTCCTAATCAGTGCTAAATGGGTTGGTTTTTTTTTTCGGGGATTGGGGAGGATTATTAGCGTAGTAGATTTTTACATACTTTACAGGAAAACTTTTCCAACGAAAGCTTCCCACCAATGGGGGAGAACAACGCTCAAACGTTTCAGTTAAACTTGGTTTCAACCCTCTAAGGTGTGCTATTATATAATAACATTTTCCGGTTTATTTTTCACCCGAAGGTAAAATCTTTTATGTTTTCTTCTTGAAAGTTTGTTAAGCCACAATTAGTTTTTTTCTTCTTCATAGTTAAGCTAGGTTTCTGTTTTGGGTTCTTTTTGTTGTTGTTAATACTAACTCCTCTAAAGGTAGAGTAAACCAATCGTATAATGGGATGAGTAATGCCAAAGTGGCACTTCCTAACGTTCTAAAATGTAGAAGAATCAAACTGAATTGAATCACCCTGGTTTTAATTTCCGAGTCTTATATGATTTCAATCGTCATAATACACACTTATTAGAAAACAACCTTCTGGCGAAATAAGACGATGTTATGAGAGCAGTTTTTTTTTCAGTGCATCACGAGTTCACAACAGAAAGATTTTTTATTTTTATTTTCCAAGCAAAAACGGGAAGCATGAATGCCAATTTGCATTGCAATTTTATCCTTTTTGTATCAACTGGAATAGTTTATCGTAGTCTTGTGTACTGTTCTGTTGAAGCAATTGACGTAAGGAATTGGTTTTCTGCTATCTATTTCTAACCTTTGTTTAGAGTGATGGGTATCTGATTTTGTCGGATTGAGTCATATCGGGGAATTTGATCGAATGGGGGGGTTGTTGGTTGCTATTTTGGTGAGTATTGGGTTCAATTGCTTATTATTTTCTATAGAATCCTACTTTGAACATGTGTATTGTATTCTCAAGTGTTGAAACTGATGATAATAACATCGACGGCAACTAATTTGGCCTTAATGCTAGGTTCGCTCACAGTCATCTTGTTGATTTATTCCTTAATTTGTGTTTGATTTGTGTGTGTGTGTATGTGTGTATGTCTCTTAGCTTTGGTAACACATTTTCAAATGGCATTTTGGATTTGTTACAAAACGTGTAAGCAAAGCAGTAATTATCAAATTTACTGGAAGATGTGTACAAATTTTGGTCTAATAAGTATTGCTCATTGGGTGAATAATATTTGAATAAGCTGCGTATCTTGATAAATGAAAACTGAAGATTTCAACTTGAACAGTTCCATAATATTAAGAAACATTTCGACAGAGTAGCACAAATGGTAACATCAGATGTTTGATGGCAATATCCTATATGAATGTTGATATAGTATCGCTCTGATAAAATCAATGAAGATCTTTCCATGTACTTTCAAATACTTGTAAGTGGCTAATTCTGACAATCTAGGTTTCGAAATAGACGGGCAATTTTTTTTATTATAGTCACTTTAACAATCTTGAAATTTTCTATTTTTTCATGTTTGGCGTACCGAAATTCATTCCAAGTTTTAAATCTCACAAGCCTCAGTCCATATAAAAAAATAGGTCTTATTATTTTGAGGATTTTTTATTAGATCGGAATTTTGTTTCGTTTGATTGAAGTGTTTAATAATTTCTTTCTTTGAAGTTTTCTCAATCTTCCCAACCTTACCCACTTTTATAAACTTCCTTAATTTTTCTCAGAGTTTTTCTCAAAATTCCGCCTAAATAATCTAGGGATTCTCATTGGTAAACCATAGTTAAAAATAAAATCAATTATACTTTGCGAATTATCTCCTAAAAATTCTTCAAGAAGAAGGGGGCATTCACTGTCACTCTCGTTCCCCTCTGACTACTCCTATGATGACAAACATATTCTCCTTAAATTTTCTAAAGAGAAGATTTCGCGAGTCATACCCTTATCGTCTACTGGCACCATATGCGCTACTGCATTGAAATACGTCGATCAACGAACAAACCTACCTTCCGAGCGGGTTGCAAACGAAAATTTCAAATGTGATGAGCAAAAGGTTTTTTGTTTGTTTATTTGACACCTTGTAAGAAAACAGACATCAGCATGCAGGATCTGTTTTGTGTCAGTGTGTATGTTCGTAATGGAAAGAAATTTTAATACTTGTTCATGCCGTGGCCTCCTCCGATCGGCTGCATTTGCTTCATTTCGTCTTTGCGGGTTTTGAAGGTACTCTTGGATGAGTGATATTTTCCTTTGTTTTCTTGTTTTACATTCCAATTTACTTTTGTGGTATCAGGTATATACTAACTTTTCACTTGTTTTTTGCTTTTTTTATATTTTTTTCTTCTTAACTCTTAAAACATTAACTTACAAACTACACGTTGTTTTCTCATTAAATATAATATTGATCACAATTTTTATTGTTTTTCATCTGTTTTTTTTCTCGTCATGTCAGTAATTTTCCTTGTAAGAAATAAATATTTAGGTCGAATAACTCAGGAAGGAACATCATTTTATGTACACATTGTTTCTGTTTTTAAGCTGTAATTGTGCATTAAGTGCAATTTGGTAAACATATTTCGAGTAGATGCGTTAAATTCCAAAGATTACAGTTGCAAAAGAACCAGTTTGAATTCTGCCTTAAAGTTTTACACGGTTAAGTCTCTCAAATGAACCAGTCTACTACGCTCTAATGATATTTTTTTCAGTTTTTTTCGCATTTTCTCGAACATTTTCACTTAAACATTAAATTCACGTCTGTCATAAGTTGCTTTCTGGCAAGGTTAATTTGATGAAATAACTTCTCCAATCCATTCAGTTTCAATTCTGCTGTTCTTAAATCTTAAAAAACATCAAATTGGCTGCTTACGGCTTTTTTTTTCTTTTCTTTGTTTGCTCGTTTGAATTCCTGCTACTAGGTTACGGTTTCGCTACTTACAAATTATATCACTTACTAAAATACTCAGAAAAATCGAATCCATCAGAATCGAGAGTGAAAAACTGCTCTTTTCCCAAAGTTTACAACTAATCTAAACCGTCCGTTAAAAATAAACTACATCCTTTTCTGTTTTCAATAAACTGTTTTCCCTCCTTCTCCGTGGTTTGTATAAACTACTTTTGTTTTGTATGCATTGAGTAATATCAAGTGTTTTGCTTATTGTTTTCGTTCTTATTTGTTTATCGTTTAACATAAGTGCAGGGGTCTCTGACGATTGATAACGATGCAATTCAGCGCGTAAACCTGGGCTTTCTGTCATGTTTGTAGTGGGTGATTCGAAACGAGGTTCATGAAATTCTTGAACAAACAAAAAGTAAACTTTGGAAAGAAACCAACACATTTTGGCTTACTGTTAGTAGTTTACTTAAATTTTCTGGCACAGCATTATTTCCAATCATATTTCTCACTGTTTATTCTCTAGCATCTAGAGTAACTCGACTAACTTAGCGTAACAGTACGTACACTATACGGGGCTGCTTTCTTTGGTTGTAACCTCAAAACTACGGCTCTCTCACTATCATACAAGAACAAGATATATACAAACAACTTAACACGAACTAAACAGAAAAATAATAAGAAAGACCGACGAATATGCGAGTAATCTCTCAAACAAGTGTCTGGAAATCTGTACACGTACACAATCTAAAAACACTATTATAAAAATATAGCTGAGCTTGGTTGTTTGTTTCTTTTTGCTTAAGTACGATTTTTGTTGCTGGCTGTTTTTTTTTCTTCTTCTGGACAGGAATCCTAGAAATCCATCACCTCCATGCTGAAGGGTTTCTTCCGGGTCGGGCTCGCGGCCAGCGGGTTGGGCGTTAGATGGTGCTGATTTTTGAACTGAAACGTCTGATGGGCGGTTGTCGTGTTGGCGGCCTGAGACGAGGACTTGTTCGACAGCATCTTGCCCATGGTGGGGGGCTCATCCTCGTCGTCACTGTCGCTGCGTACGTTCACCGGTCCACCCAGGGCCGGCCCACTGAAGTCATCGTCGTCATCATCATCCTGGTGATGAGAAGGGGGAGGAAGGCAGGTATGGTATTAGTTGAGGGTTTGTTGACAACTGTTCCGAACTACAATCGTGCATATAATAAATCATGGCATAACTTAGAACATACATTGCTGTAGGTCCTTAACAAAACAAATTCAGTGACATCATAAGAAAATATAACCGAGTTCGATAAATTGAATGCTACTTTTATTGGGTTCATGCTGCTGGTTTTATATAGTTATTATAATCACGAACCGATTGTGGCATCCTTGTCATCATGCTTGAAACAATAGTATAAGAACAATCACATGTTTTTTTTGCTATGGTCACTCTTTGGTCTTTTGTGACTTGTCCGGGGATGAGACCGCTACGCCAGGCCCGTCCCCTATCGCATGCTGATACCTGTTGTTTGGAGATGAACCAATGGGACCGTAAACATTTTATAGACCTTATTGCTATTTGAGAACTCCATGACTATTTAGGATTTGCATGGCTCTTTCTGCAATGATATCACAGACAAACAGACGTTACTGTTTCTCCTCAATCGTCGTACACGCATTTAACGATAAATTTAAATATTATTAGTTGCGCGAATGGAAAAAAAAAATTAAACTTAACTCTTTATCGAGAATCCATAACGGCTGATTCAAATGTGCAGCGATCCCATCTGTCAAAACCATAGAAATATTTTATCTAGATAAAAATAATTTGTCCGAAATAGATTAGACGCGAACCAACTCATAAATTCTGTACGCGTGTTCGCGGCTAGGATAAATATTTTCCGCGAACACGGCGGCAGATGTCAGTTTTGAGCATTGATCAGAAATTTCTTTGTAATTAGTATGATCATTCATGTCGGTTTGTCGGTCCCAACTAACATTTTCAGTTTTATAAGCCAACTTTTCCAGCATTGTGCTGTAAAGTAGCTGAAACAAAGCTGCAGATACAGCTACAAGCAGAAGCTAGCAAAGTAGTTTTGGAGAGCGTTTTCTCAACTTTCTCACAACCATTATTCAATTTGTCATTCGCACTGAATAACTTCAGTCAATAAACGCTAATGTCACTTCTATACACACACTAATCAACTTTCAACTTGTAGCTGCAAAACAAAGCTAACAAAGTGAATATATTACTCATTTGATGGCTTCTACACAACCAACCACTCTTGCTGAATAACATAAACATCAAAAGTGCTTTGTCAACAACTAAACAACCTGTACTCAGCTAATTAACTGTGTTAGTGATACTTTGGAAGCATTTTTACAGTCAACTAGGTTTATTTTTAGACGTGTACAGTTCTACAGCTTTTACTCTGCTCCTTTACAAAGCTGAAGTAACTAGTCGAGAAAAGTGATTCATGTGCACTATTAGACAGCCTCTACTCAACGGTATTATTGTAGAAAGTCATGTATATTTGTTTACCTCAGTTCAACGTGGTGGCGTAGCAAAGATGGTAGTGTCAAGGTTTGCAAAAATACGGTCGTCTCGAGTTCGATTCCAGGGTCCGGTGCAGGGTAAATAATTTGGTGGTGTAATTTCGAATAATTTGAATCTCGCAGCAAAATAAACTCAATCAATTCCTCCAACAAAAAAACGTAGATAATATTTAACTCGGCTTCAAGAGAAAGCTGTGTAGTGATTATTGCATAATCGGGTAATGTGGGGACCGTACACGATTGCTTTTATTGACAATCATCGTATTGTCAATACATTCAATATTGACGTAAATACATCGGTATTGACAATATTTATGTATTCACATCATCAATATAAATGTCAATAATTCCCCTTTGCGTCAATATATTGATAAGTGTAGGGTTTGCTTAAAGGTTGAGTAAGCGCCTTTCAAGTTCACACACAACTTAAACAGCAGGATAACAGCTGTATACAAGCGTAAATAGATATGCAATAAGAGCTTGTTCCAACCGTCACAACAACTAGAAGTAGCTGACTAAGTTCGCCAGATTTGCTGCTTGCAGGCAAAAGAATGTAATAATTCCATAAGTAACACTTATGAATTTTTGCTATAAGAAATGAGTGTGAATTTCATTGATTTGTCTTATGAAAAATAATGTTCACAAAAAATAATAAATCGGAGCAGACTGGAACTGGAAAATGAACGTTGAGGTCTCCTAACCTGTTAACCACTCGTCTTTCAACGCTTTGGAAAATGAAATGGTTAAAGACGTATAAGAGCTACCTCATTTTACCCGAAAATCATTCATAAGTCACGCTTATGAAATTCATATATGTTGTTCATAAGTCGAGCCTTATGTAATTCTTAGGTCTATTTGCCTCAGTGTACACCATTGGCACAAAAAGGCCGAGGGACTCTTTAATATTTCTTTGCAAGACTTGAAGCTTTAACAAAGCAGACCCGCGTGTCCGAGCATAGAGAACACTGTATCCGGCCAGAGGGGACACTTTTCGTATGATTTGATTTCCACAAAAAATGTTACCCATCATTAATCTTCCAGCTTCTTGGCTTCGCCGATGACATCGACATCATAGCACAGATCTTTGAGACGATGGCGGGAACGTATATCAGACTGAAGGCTGAAGCTAAGCGGATTGGACTTGTCATCAACGCATCGAAAACGAAATACATGAAAGGAAGAGGTTCTAGGCAAGAAAATGTTAGCATCCCACCCCGAGTTTAGATTGACGGTGACGAAATCGAGGAGGTCGATGAGTTCGTGTATTTGAGCTCACTGGTGACCGCTGAAAATGATACCAGCAGAGAAATTCAAAGACACATTATGGCAGGGAATCGTGCTTACTTTGGACTCCGGAGGATGCTCCGGTAGAATAAACTTCGCCGCCGCACGAAGTTGGTTATCTACAAGACGCTGATTAGACCGGTGGTCCTCTACGGCCACGAGACCTGGACTATGCTTGGTGTCTTCGAACGGAAGGTGTTGCGTACCATCTACAGTGGAGTGCAGATGGATGACGGAACGTGGAGGAGCCACCACGAATTGCACCATCGTCTACATTGCGAAAATTGGGCAACTACGGTGGTCTGGGCACGTCGTTGGAATGCCGACGACTCAGTGAAAATGGTTCTCAAAAGCGATCCAACAGGAACAAGAAGAAAAGGCGCGCATCGGCAAGGTGGATCGACCAAGTAGAAGGCAACCTGCGGACCCTTCGCAGACTACAAAGCTGGCGAAATGTGGCCATGTATTGAGTAGAGTGAAGACGACTTCTTCGGACAGCAGAGGACAACAAGGCCTTAGCCTGATTGGTAAGGTAAGTAAGTAAATTCTGACGAAAATATAGGATTTTTTTCTTAAAAGGCATTTCAGTTACAACTTTGTCTCACTTCAAGCATCATACATGTTATATAACAGTTTATATAACTTTTGTATGACTGGTGTTGGTTGTATAGCAGTTTAATCAACATAATTCTATGAATTTGTGTTACTTGGGAGACGTCATTTCGAATAGATGAACCGTTTTCGTGCTATTACGGCATAAAATATAATGCACTATTTTGAAAATATAGACGTAGATTTAACCAGATTTAAACTTGATACTGATATACAGATAACGTTTCTTACAATACCGATTTTTGAGATTTTACACTGATTTATACCGAGTTATTTTCAGTCAGAGGAAACTATTGCTAGAGATTTTTATCTTTTTGAATATCTTGAGCCTTCTCAATAAACTATTCAATTTAAAAAATATATTATGATTGATACTCTTTCGACTACCCAGGTAACCAAGAAGCATTAAAAGTAGCATGTTATCAGCAGCAAATGCTACTTAAAACCACTTTTGGCAAAATATACTGCTGCTTTACTGCTGGACCCCACATACTGACTGCGCTACTGTCCGAAATTTGACAACCGTTGATAGAACTGAATGCTGAAGATATGGTATTGAATGCTGGTTTAAGTCATTTTATCAATAATGATTTTAAAAAACATCTTGAATTTATTTTATTATCTCGTTATTATCGCAGCATTGGCGATTGTGCATTATAATTGCTGATGTTCAACAGATATGCATTTAAAATGCTTGTAAACAGCAGGAAGCATCTGCAATGCAATTACGAGGTTGATATACAGTCGTGGGGCTAAAAGAGATGGGCGATCCGCTCCCGACCTGTTCTATAGACCCGATTCTCTAAAGTGAGCTGATGACCCGCGGTTCATTTTTTAGGAACCGCAGCTCATCAGCTCACTGATATCACAAGTCTAAACCATTCAATCCATCACTCATAGCGGAACTTTTCGAAAAAGGACTCATTATTCCACTTACGCATTGAACAGTCACCGCGTAAACCAAGACGCGCGCGTAATATAACATGTGCCTACTTCCAAGCGTATGATAGAAGAGAGAGAAATATGTACAGTGCTACACGATCTTAATTTTCTACTGGTATTATCCAATTGACCACTTTGTCAAGCAGTTTTGTCATGACTTTCTACCAGCAATTTCACAAAACTGGACCAACTAATTTCTATTTTTTTATGAAACGCACAAATGTTGGCTACTTTTCTCGAGGTTTTAGAAGAAAAAATCTCAAAATAATGTTTTATTTCAATGTTCGAGTGGTAGTAAACGTCATTTTAAGTGCTCGAATAAAGTGGTTGATTTATTTACGTACCCGGCTCTTATTCCTGATGTTATTCCTCCAGCATATGTGCTCTCACCTCTCCTCTCATCATTCTCTGGGTGGAGCGGAAGATCCGCACAAAAGCAAATAACCGAAAAGCGAAATGCAGCTCTCTAGCTTATCAGCTCAGCTCCGGATCCGAATCATCGACTCGAATGATTCACTGGGAGCCGCTTAGGATGACAACTCTTGTACCCGTCCAGCTCAGCGTTGCCAGATTGTTTTAAAGCTTATCGGTATCGACGGTATTAAAAAATCGGTATTTATCGGTATTTACTATTTTATTAATTTTATGTTTTTGCCGTTTTTGAAAGCAAAAATTTTAACGATGGTGACGACTGGGAATTGAGGGGAATTGCTTTGTTTAACGTCTTTCTCAGTCTTAAA